TGATAACATGACTGATGAAGAAATTAAAAAACTGTATGCGTGTTACGAGTCTAGAGTGGGAGCTACCATGACTAAAACAATAGGGTCGGTTATGTTACAACTATACACAGTCGTAGTTAGTACGTTTCTCCGGCAGAACACCGCCCGTATTTGTGCGAATCTCTCAAGAAAGACCTATTCATCGAACACGCTATAAGCGCAGTAAGCTGTGAGTTTTATCATAGATATAGAATGTTCTTAGCGCCACTTACCACAGCTTTAATAACGTCAATTTAAACATACGTGCCCACTTACTAAAAATGGAGACTCAAGTGACACCACAAGTGAACAAGGAAATAACACCGATTGCTCAACAGATTGTGGAATGAGGAAATACCAGCGATTGCACAACAAGCCAGAGTGACTAAGAATCCTCGAAATGTCGCAGCTGGTAGGAAGGGTGTGCTAGCGAGGAAGTCAAAACTAATATACAATTCAAATATTGAACATAGTCGTCCGATTTAAACTTGGGCTCCCTATGTACTAGGGGTTGTTGCTATAGCAGCGGTATGGTTTTAAAAGACCGGAGAAGAGAAAACACCACCCCTGATTACACAATCACAACAAGCTATTGGATAGGATAGGATAAGTTTTATTCCATACTGAAAGGCCTCAGACCTATAGTACAATTCTGTTTTCAGGGGGGTTACAGATCTGTTTAACAGGTCATATTCTAATTAACATAGCATGATAAATGAACATTGATAGATTTTTTAGAGTATCTTTATCAGTTGTTGACATGATCGTTGTAAATTTTTGTAGAGTGGGATGTACATAACCAGGCAGATCAATATATTTTCTTCTTAGGTGGTCGTATTTTGGACAAACTGACAGAAAATGAAACTCATCTTCACTCACATTTAAATCACATTGCTCACAAATTCTCAATTCTCGGTCTATGTTTCTATGCCTGCCTAGTTCGATCCTAAGTCTATGAGAGCTGCATCTAAATTGTGCTAAATGTATTCTAAACCTTTTAAAGTTGATGTCAAACAAATAGTATTCTGGGGAAATTGTTGTCTTGAAAAGCTTGTAATAATTGCATTTTTCTGAACTTAAAACATGCGATGCCCATTTTTGCAAGTATATATCCTTAAGTCTTTGGCGTAAAGATACTAAAAATAAATCTGGATTGTTTGATACACATTGATTATGCCAAACATACCCATAGCCGCAATCATTTAATAACGACTTAACATCATATACCCAATTACGGATTCCATGTTTTTCATACAATAACATCATATTGTAACATTTTCTAGGTAATCTATCAATAGGCATTTTAAGAATCTTGAACCAATACTTGAGAATTCTAATATGTTGAAATATGTAAAGTGGTACACGTCCACATTCACCATATACCATAACACTCGATGTAGAGTTTTTTACGCCAAGGAATTGTTTACAAGCATATAGATGGACCAGTTCAATAGGTCTGTATTCAGTATGCCCCCAGACCTCTGCTCCATATAAAAGAATTGGGAGTAATTTTTGTATCAAATATTTTAAAAAAGGTTTGATATGAAAGATCAGTGAAAGTTTTTAAACTATGTAAGATTTCCATTATTACCTTTTTTGCCTGCATTGCTGCATTACTGGTGTGGTAATTCCACGATAATCTGCCTGTGAAGGTTACCCCCAGATATTTATAAGAAGTGACAATTTGTAACGGTTGTGAGTTGAAGAACCATTTTTCCCTACTTGATAGTTTATTTCCCTTTTTGAAAACTAACACTTTCGTTTTCTCAGTGTTCACTTGGAGTTTACAATTAGAACAGTACAGCTCCAGTTGATCTATCAAATTCTGTAAACCTTTTATCGTACTAGAGAACAGGACTATATCATCAGCAAAAAGCAACAGAAATATCTTAACAATATCTGGATGCAGCTGTATACCATCAGTACAATTTTCCTTAATTTGTGCAGCCAGTTCATTGATGAAAAAACAGAACAGGAAGGGGCTAAGAATACAGCCTTGGCATACACTAATGTTACATGTGAAGACATCAGAGTATATTCCCCGATTTTTAACACATGACTTTACATTTTGATAAATAGTTTACCCATTTTATTACTCACCCCATTTGAAAGAAACAATGACCACATTATATTTCTGTTTACAGAATCAAAAGCTTTTTTTAAATCAACAAAAATTGCATAAAATTTTCCACCTTTTCTCTGCATGTATTTGTGAATAATCGCATTAAGTACGAAAATATTATCCGAGGTTTAATACCCTTGTCTAAAACCTGCTTGTCCTTTCGAAATTTTATCTAATGAATCTGACCAAAAAGTAAGCCTTTTATTAATAATAGAAATAAATATTTTGCTAAAAACACTCAGAAGGGTAATTCCTCAATAATTTTTGGTAAGCGAATGCATCACAAGTTCAATTAGAGTTAAACCCTCATGTAATATTATAAAAGCATGACTAATCCAGTTACAGATGGTAAAATGTTGGTGAACGCAACGTATCATTCAGCGGTGGTCAGCGGCTTGGCCATTGGCTATGCCCGTATGGCTCAAATGATATATAAAGCCACACCACCCAAGCTAGATTTTAATGGTTATGATATCGGTTTGATGATTCTTGATATTGGATTGGCAATGGCAACAAAAGATATGCTCATCAAACAAGGGCTTATCCCAGAAGACATAATGGAGTAATTAAACATTTGAATATTTTATAAACATATAGTATGGCACAGGGGTCCGGAAAATTTAAAATCCCAATCGGACATTTGCATTTAGGCCACGCCCCCTGCAAATAGCGTATTTTAGTACGACTTTTTACACACACATTACAAGTTGTTACGTATTCATAATATGATGAATTATGAATTGTTTCAATTTAAATTGTTTAATTCACCTGACAATTAATAACAAATAAGATTTTTTTTAAACTAAAGATTATTTAAAAACAAGACAGATAATATAATCATAAATACTAAAATATCGTTAATAGCAATAGTTATTTGAATACTTTTTTCATCTGTTCTTAATTATTGACCATAAAAAAATTTGATATCGATCGTCACAGAAAGCAAAATGGCGGTCAATCAAGATTCAATATACGACTAGCTACTGAAAACAATCAAATCTGCAAATCCTCATTGTATGTCAACCAAGTGAAAGTCGTTAGCCACGACTTACAAAATGATCATTCAGACTTTGAGGGTTTGGCAGATCCGCTCGACCGATTTGAATCGGTCGACTGGCTGTTGTCACGCTTTCGCTTCTTGTCTGAGGTTACGTATCGTAGCATTGTGAGGATAATGAGGTACATCGATGATGCAAGGTATTTATGTAAAGTTGTAAACACATTTTACTCAAATTAACAAGATGTTCTCAGTAATTAATCCTCGATTAATCAGTGTCAACTCAGTTAATTGCCTATTACAGTGATTGACCGATACAATGTATTTGCAGCAATCAAAACAAACAAAGCTTGTCAGTGTAGATAATCTTCATTGTGTTACAACTGCAGACAGAAACTGCTCAGTCCTAACTGTTGATCACGTCCGGTCAAAATTGAAGAATGTCCGGACAATACTTTTTAAAATGTCCTGACAGAAAAATTTAAATGTCCGGTAAGCAATATTTTAAACTGGACATTTGAGATTCCCAATCGGACATGGTGGCGCATATGACGGTTTCCGGACCCCTGGTATGGCATCAATTGCGATGATGGTCGGTGGAGCTATTGTTAATGCTCTAGCTTTTTCGGGGAGTAATTTTTTATTTTCAAGTATGAGAGGAGAGGAGCTGAAAAGACATAATAAAGCATTAGAACAACTTGAAGTGGCCCAGTCACAATGGGCCAGAAATAGGATGTTAAGGTTAGATTTTATTAATGATGAACTGCGTAAAAAAGGGCATTCAATTCAAATGTTTAAGGATGTTGAATCTGCCATGCACAAATACTTCCTTGTTTATGGAAAGAAACTTGACCCAATACCTAGACCAACACTCTCTCAGTTTTATACACCGTCAGAGGCTCAGAAAGACCGCGAGATAGCATTTATAGTGATGGGATTGTCCACCGTGGCTATTTTTAGCCATGATCTATTGCGTATCATCCATTAATAATAACTCTGACTACTCAGCTATAAATAGTGCTGACTGGCTGTTCAGCTGTGTCAAGCTGACTGGCTGACTGTTGTCTATTTTTAGCTACGCATAAACAATGATCTATTACATATCAGCTAATCTATAAATAGTGATGACAACTATGACTCACCAGTGTAGATGTCATTTGCATTTAGACAAATGATATGATAGATGCATAACCATGAATCTGTGCAGATTTACACTCATGGGGAAGCCGATTCAATGCAACCGACGTTGTGTAGGTATTTACTGTGGTATCGATTCTTATTACATCAGATAAAAATATAATTTATAATACGTGTTCTGTATGTGGGATAGGGGTCAAAGGTCGTTATTGTTTATGTAAGAAACACGGTGCTGATAGGGTCAGGAACCAGATTATTTACACTAGGAAGAGAGATTACATCAACGGGAGGAATAGGTTGGGGAGAATACGTATTTAGATATATGAAAAACAACCATTTAGAGATTTGACTCATTTTGCATATACCATTAAACCACAATTGTTTTTTGTGAGAGTTGAAGGCTTTGGCAAAACAACATGGTCTACATGATAATTCTCGAAAGAGAAAAGCTGAATTGATTGATTTACTCGGTTTGGAATACAAATCCAGACTGTTAGAGAACTCAAAGCTTAAAGGATTATTAAAAAGGCTACGAACACAGCATTTTTCTTACAGAATACCATTCAAACATGAATTTATACCAAATCTGCATAGTTGATTTTTGAAAATAATTCGTAATTATTATAATTATGCTCCAAAACCTAGAACACTTTGGCTCCGCCCACTCGTATGCATAGTTTTTTTTTTAGCGGTCAGCCTCCTGTGGCTGTGACGTCATACCAGACAGTCCGCTATGTGTTGATCGTTCGTGTTTACGCTCGGCTATCGACTGAAAAGTGACGCTAAGCGCTATATTTTGAATGAAGTTGTAGTGACAATATGCCGTATTGGCTTGCATTTGGGTGCACTTCAAGTGCTACGAATGCTTTAGGCCTTCATTTCCATGGATTTCCCCGCGATCTACCAAGAAGAAAGCTGTGCTGATGTCAAACTCAAAGACATAAGCAAACACAGCACGTTGTGCTCCTTACATTTCTCAAAGAAGAATTATGAAAGGGATCCCGAGTTCATGGCACAGTATGGCTACACGAAAGCTCAACCCAAGCTTTTAAAGCATGCCGCACCGGACATTCCCCTGGCTATCGACGGCACGAGCAAGAATATCACCAAAAGTGCCACGTTCACCGAGAGGGGGGCTTTTCAGAAGCGATGACGGTTAGAACAAATAGAAGTGAGTGAAGTAGATACGAACGTGATTCACAATATTGAGTCTTATGATATTACATGCTCGTTTGTATCTCTCGCAGTTTTCATTTACCAGAGTTGTTGGGTGTAGATCGATTTGACTGTACTTTGTTTTTAGCTGTAATTATGTCACAGTTTTCGCGCATCTCGTAGGTTTTGGCAGTATGCCTTGTCACCCATGAGGGATTGGGCATTCCTCCTACATACACTAGTCGCAAGGTTACTTAGTTTAAGAAAAAATCAGAATTGTCATAATTGTCTATGATTTATATAATTTATATTTTGTAAAATTAATTAGATCTGGAATGTGAAATAAAATCTAAATTAATTATTTTCCCGTTTTAGGATCTGAAAGAAGCATGTGATAGTTTCAAAGCAACACAAGATTGTGGACAGTCCGGAGGTACAGATATTCAGCAGGACATGTCAACATTCGAGCCTGTTCAAACTTGTGTTGAGTCTGGCAGTGGAAAACACCATTTCGAGTGTCAGGTTTCATGTAAGTGATTTATTCTAACATTTCATATATTGATTCTGCTCAGAATCAAATGTGATTAATTAATTCCGTAATTGTAACTATTTTAGCTTTCATTGTGTTTTTGGATAATCATTTTAGACAAATGTGACAGAAAATACTATAGATTGATTGATGATACCTTCTTCCAATAATTCAGGCCATTCTGTTATGATAAATACTCTGTATCAACTCAATATGATATATGGCTTCCTACACACTCTGAGCTGTTGCACATGTATACATATCTGGAGACAAATCAAGGTTGGCGAAAGAAACGACATGCTATACTTTTGATTGGACAAAACCCTGCTGACATAATCCTGTTAATCAAAGCCATCATGTCCAGTTGGTCCAGGGAAATTATCGCAATGGAATGGACATGTAATAGCCTGAATAGTGGAAGGGATATAATGAGATTTATGATTAAGGATATCTTATATATAGTTATAAGTAACATCGAGAGATTATGTCCATAGGTCTGACCTGGTTTATCCTAGTTGATTTATGTTATATGATTTTGATATTTGTTTTATTTACAGTGGCAGTTCCCAAGGCAAAAATACATCTTCGCACAAGACAGATTCAGACATTACCCGTCCGAAGAATCACAAGATGCATTCAGGCAAGACCACTGACCAAGACAGTGTGACATGTACAAGAGGAGCGAGATTGTGTTTGAAGAGGACATGGACATAGAGGAAGATAAGGCTGAGGAAACAATCCAGATTACTTCCCCAACACCAATCCTGGTGAAAGAACTGAAATCATAAGTGTCTGATGTATGAACTGAAGTCATAAGTGTCTCATGTATGAAACTGAAGTCATAAGTCACTGGTGTATAAACTGAGTCATAGGTGCATGGTGTATAAACTGAAATCATATGTGTCTGATGTATTAAGAAGATCTATAGTACTTGAACCCTGCCACTTCTTCAGATGGAAAGTATTCCCTAATTGCAGTCACCACACCTGATGGTATAGGACGACAATCATGTTTTCTTAGCCTTCCATGGATCCATCTTGTAAATCGGCGGTATGCCACATAGCGATACGTTCTGTAAATTGAAAGATTTTGTTCGGATCTAGGAATGAGCAATGTACATGACTAGTGTTCTTAATCGGTGACTTGAAATTGTATAATATTGTTACCATACCGGAATAATTATGTTCAGATGTCATAATTCATTGCGTGTCAGAACAGGTCTTCAGCAACCCATGCTTGCCATATTAGGTGACTATGCTTGTCATAAGAGGCGACTAACGTTATCTGGTGGTCAGGCTAGCTGACTTGGTTGATGCATGTCATCGTATCCCAACTGCATGGATCGATGCCCATGATGTCAATCACTGAATTGTCTGGTGCAGACTCGATTATCTACTGACTGACGTTATATATCTGGAATATTGCTGAGTGTGTCGTTAAACAGACAAACATAATTTATTGCTACTTCACTTTTGTTATTAATTCAACATGTCTTTGTGGTGTTAGTCTAGACATTGTATTAATTGATCAATTTTTTAACATTATGTTAAAAAGTAGTATGCAAATAAATTATTTACACCTTCAGTTTTGTTCTAGTTGTTCCTTAATTTGATTGCAGGTCTTTCTTTGGAACTGATCACACTTTATTCATGTTATATATTACCATGATTACTGTAAGGCATTGAAGAATATTTCTTTTTCACTTGCTGACAGTTTAGGAGAATATTTGATGGATTACAATGATAAGGATATGTCAATTTTAATCGATGCAGCTTCATTTACTATAGTAATTATCAGCGGTTAAGAAGGAACATACTTATTAATTGGTTCGTTATCGTCTAGTGGGCCAGCCAAACTCACAAATTCAGGGAGAGCCAACTGTAGGACGTGTATGTTGGTGAAATTTACTGAGAATCCTTCATGTTGAGTGATGCAATCCAAAGGTTTCTCTCTCACCCCAGCATAAAAGTGGCAACATTTCGAGTCAGGTCGTGATGACATAGGCATACAGTTGCCACAGTCACACCTATTAACACAATTATGATATAGCTAATAATACATAAATAAATGCAAACCTATCAATTTCTTTATGGTACAGTTCCCTAAAAATAAAAGCATTTCACTTATTTCTTATTTATGGCACATTTTTAAAATTCACACTATAAAAGTTCATAATTATTTAGCATTTCATGTGTCCCATTTTTGAAAATTTATATTCCACAATAACTATCACAACAGCTTATAATTACCAATAGCTAGACGTCTATGGAAATTGAATGTGTTATAAAATTGAACTTCGATGCACCGGCAACATTGATAATGTTACACTCACGAATTTAGGGTACTGTGCTAGTGTACGTGTATTGACTGACGTACGTAATGGTATTTCACAGAAAGGTTGATCCCCATATTCGATCCTTCTGTTGGGTATATTTAGCCAGAAGAAGTTTTATAACATATTTAATAATTAAGGTGAAAAGTCTGACATATTATATTGAAACGATTTACTTGTAACTCGCGATTTGAGCATTTACTGTCACATATATAGGCGTGGCTTCGCATATTATTATTGGTCTAACATTGCGGTAATTGCGGTAATTGTGACACATTTTACCGTGACAGCTGAAAGATTGATTCCATATTTAATCTGTTTTCCTGAATATATGGCACGCTAATTACTAGCTTAAACCAGTCTGTGTGAGGCCTATTCAATACATCGTCGAGATCGGGATCGTCACTGTTTTCTTGTGAACTGCTGGAATCGGCGTCAGTATTCTGGTCGTTCTTGCTGCCAGAAATAGGTTCAAATTGAAAAGGTTGTACTTCTATGTCAGTATCTGTATGGGGTAGACCTTCCAAATCCATTTTTGACCTTGTAGGTCGAATTATTGGTGAAGATAAAAGTAGATTTCCGAGAGCGATTCGGCGCGGCACCGTTGTGCAACTTGTGTGTTTTGATGCTACAACTGTCCGGTATGACGTCACACGATCACGTGACTGGCTACCTCATTATCTTACGTAATCGCCAAATGCTTTCGATGATCGTCCGTTATTGATTGCAAATTCAAGCTATTTAACGAAGTGTTACTGTTTCAAACTGCCTTGAGTGTGTAACATATATACCTAAGTATTCATTAATAGTGAATATAAAGCATGTGTAAAAACCTTTTTAAGAATCCTTGCAAAAAAAAGTGGGCTGAGAGGTTATTCTCGAATGAGAAAAGCTGAATTAATTGATTTACTGGATAAAAATCAACCAGATGATAAAAATCAATCAGTTGATGAGTTAAGATTTGTACCCACAGACGGCGTTGGTAATTATCTAAGAGGTTGGAAGATGGATATTAATTCCAACATGGATGTTAATGATGTTAAGCCCATCATTTCAAGCAAAATTAACGAGGAGTCAGATGATTTACATAGTATAAAATACCATCTAACGGTTAAAATGTTATTAAGTAAAAATAACGCCGAATATACCGAACCTTATTTCCGGAGCAATCAAGAAGTTATCAACGAATATGAGTCTATAAACACATCATTAGATACATCAATTCAACAGATACAAGAATCTTTAGAACGTTGGACTAATTGAGGTTCGGGTTTGGGTGTGGATAAAATAGATAGTTTATATTTAGATATAGCAAATTATATGCCTTTTAAAGCTGGATCTTATATAGATTTACCCCCGTATTATAAGAAGAAAAAAGCTATAGTTAATGTAAAAAATAAAGGCGATGGCTGTTTAAGAATTGCTATAAGATCTGCATTGTTCCCCGTAGACAAAAATCCGGATAGGCCTTCTAGCTATCCCTAAAATGATGGACTCAACTTTGATGGTATAGACGAACCTACACCAATCTCTCAAATTAATAAGGTGGAAAAGCAAAATAATTTAGCTATAAATGTTTTCGGACATTCTTCTAAAGGAATTGTTGTACATAGGATAAACTCCGCCTCAGAACATATTCCCAGAATCATTTTTTTTCTGATCAAAAAAGATGGTAAATATCATTATACATGGATAAAGAGTTTAAGCAGACTATTATGCGATCAAACAAAACATGCAGGAAAGAAATATTTCTGCGAAAGATGCCTGCATGGGTACAGCAGACAAGATATTTTAGAAGAGCATTAAGAAGACTGAAGAGGTGTTGGACAGACTGCTATCAGGATCGATATGCCTAAAGAGGAAAAAATATATTAAAAATTTGAACATTATTGTAATCAAATGCCAGGACCGTACATAATTTACACCGACTTCGAAGCACTTATTAAACCTATAGAAACTAACGAACACAATACAGAATGTAGTTTTACGTACAAAACTCAAGAACATATTCCTTGTGGGTTTGGATATATTGTTGTAAGGTATGGTGGGAAAACAAACCCGCCCGTGATTTATAGAGGTCACGATGCGGCGGGAAAGTTCCTAGAATATCTACAAAATGAAGAGAGAATAATCAGGGAAAATTTATTGCGTAAGAAACCCATGTGTATGACGAGGGATGATTGGAGGGCCTATAAGAAGTCAACGATTTGTCATGTTTATAATAAACCACTCAATGGGGATTCCGTAAGAGATCATTGCCACGACACGGGTAATTATCGGGGAGCCGCGCATAACGAGTGTAACTTGAAACTAAAAAAGTATATTCTCAAACAATACCCATCCCCGTTGTGTTTCATAACCTTGGAGGATACGATTCACATCTCATCATGCAAGCTATCTCAAAGACTGACGGCGGCTTAACGTGCATTCCTAATAATATGGAAAAATACATATCATTCTCATTGACTAAAACTATTCATTATACGGACAAGGATGGGAAAACTAGAACAAAGCAAAGTAATGGGCTTAGATTCATAGACTCCGTACAGTTTCTGTTATCTTCCCTGGACAATTTAGCTAATGCGAACCATCCCGATGACTTTGCAATAACAAATCACTATACTGATTGGTTAACACAGCATTTGTTCCTGAGAAAAGGTGTATATCCTTACGAATATATGGATGATTGGTCTAGATTCGATGAAACTAAATAACCACCCCTTGAATCATTCTATAGTAACTTAACAGAATCTAAAATAACTGATGCCGAATATGAACATGCTCTGACGGTGTGGGATAAATTAGGTTGTAAGAATTTAGGTGATTATCACGATCTGTACTTAAAAACCGATGTACTGTTACTCGCCGATATATATTCGAGATATTTAGAAAGACATGTTTAAAACAATACGGTTTGGACCCGGCATGGTACTATTCCAGTACCGAATAAGACCGGTGTAGAACTAAAACTACTCACCGATTACGATATGCACTTGTTTATTGAGAAAGGATTAAGAGGTGGTATATCGATGAAAGGCGAAAAGGTATTCTAAGGCTAATAATAAATTTGTGGAAGGGTATGATCTGAGTAAACCCGATACGTACATATTATATCTCGACGCCAATAATTTGTACGGATGGGCTATGAGTCAACCTTTACCCACGGGTGGTTTTGAGTGGGTCGATGTGAATGATATTGATGTGAATGATATTCATAATATCCACATGAATGATATTCACAAGGTTGATGTGAATAAAGGGTACATACTAGAAGTTGACTTGGAATATCCAACAGAGTTGCACAAAGACCATAACAGTTATCCGCTAGCTCCAGAAAGATTAATGGTTAAAAAAGATTGGATGTCGGAAGATCAACACTCCTTGATGGACAATACTAGTTTAGCTAACGTAGAAAAACTCGTACCAAATTTGATGGATAAGACAAAATATATAGTTCACTACAGAAATCTCCAGTTATATCTATCGTTAGGCATGAAACTAAAGAAAATACACAGAGTTCTAAAGTTTGATCAAAGCCCTTGGATGGAACCCTATATAAGACTGAACAGAGATTGAAGAAAGATGGCTACCAGCGATTTCGAAAAGAATCTATATAAGCTCATGAATAACTCAGTATTTGGTAAAACTATGGACAATCTAAGGAAGCGTGTTGATGTTAAATTGGTCAGGTCTAATGAGGAAGAGAGACTCAGGAAACTTATAGCCAGTCCGGCGTTTAACAGAAGCAAGATATTTGATAAAGACTTAGCCGCACTACATATGCAGAAAAGTAATATAAAATTCAACAGACCGGTGTACGTAGGTATGAGTATTCTTGACTTGTCAAAACACTTAATGTATGACTTTTATTACAATGAACTTAAGAAGCAATATGGCGATAGATGCGAGGTGTTATATACTGATACAGATTCTTTGTTGATGGAAATACAAACCGAGGATGTGTATAAAGATATGGCAGAAAAAATAG